GCATGGAAATGCATGTTTGTGTGCAAGCGTTGTTTACGCAAAGTATCTCTCTATTTTCAAATGTTTCTTTTTTCTTTGCTTCTTTTCTTGTTTTCTAAATATTGTTGAACAATGGGTGAATGATTGTGTTTATATGCATATGTTTGAAATTTGTCTCTTTTTTAACATTCTTGTATTATTTAATAAAATTAATAAAAATTAAAACACACACAGACACAGACAAGGTCCCGCGACAGGGCGCGGTGGGATCCGATTGGAGGCCCGCCGGCGCCCTGGGGGACCGACGCTGCAGGGAGACCTCTGAGCATGGGCAGAGTGCCCAGGCTGTCCCCGCAAGCCCTTCCCCTCTCTTTTTTTCCTGGGGGGACGAATCTGAAGTCGCTCCGGCTGCTGGTCCGTCGGGGGGTGGAGGGCGCTTATTTTAAGGTGTGGATAGGGGGGTACAACGCATCCCACCCCATGGGTTTTAATGTTCTATTTTAATCTTGTTTTTAAAGTTGTATTTTAATCAACTTGTTTTTATTATTGATTGTTAGCCGCCCTGAGCCCGGTCTTGGCTGGGGAGGGCGGGGTATAAATAAAAATTATTATTATTATTATTATTATTATTATTATTGGAAACACTGCACCTTCCTGCTTTCAGTTGCATTCCCTGTCATTTTTTTATCATTCTGATTCGCCCTGGATTCCCGGGAGGGAGGTAGGGGGGCAAAAGTACTTTGCCCATGCTCAGAGGCCCCATCACTGTCTCTGATGAGCTGGGACGTGGAGGGCAGGCGGGGTGGGGGCCAGCTCAAACAACCGAGGAGAGGATCGGGAAAGAGGAAAGGTGACGGCAGCCTACCTGGGACTTCTCCAGCTTGGAGGGGGGAGAAGACTACAACTCCCAGCATCCCCCGCGCCCGCCGGGTGACACATGGCTTTGGAATGCCAGCTGCTGCCAGCCTTTCTCTCGGGCTCCAAAACCGGTCCAGAGAGCCGGGAGTCGCCCTCAGGAGTCAGCAGCGCCTCTCCCCGAAAGCAGAAAAGTAGCAGCCAAGCCAGGAGCGGTTCCTGGACTTGCCAGCTTGGCATTTCTCTCCCCTGCTGAAGATTAAGAAGTCCAACACCAGATTCCCTCCAGGGCTTCCTCTCCACCTTGGAAAAAACCCCATCCTTAAGAAGAGGGTGGCTGACTTAGAATCATAGATTTAGAAGGGCTCCCCCAGGGTCATCTAGTCCAACCCGCTGCAACGCAGAAATCGCTGCTGAAGAATCCCTGGCAGATGGCCAACCAACCTCTGCTTAAAAGCCGCCAAGGGAGTTAGTGCCAGTGCTGAATGTCTCTTACCATCAGAAAGTTCTTCCTGATGTTCAGTCGGAATTTCCTCTCTTGCAACTTGAAGCCACGGGTTCGAGTCCTACCCTCCAGAGCAGGAGAAAACAAGCTTCCTCCATCTTCCATATGACAGCCCTTGAGATATTTGAAGATGGCTATCATATCATATTGACTATGGAAGCCTTTGACTGGGTCGACCACAGCAAACTATGGCAAGTTCTTAGAGAAATGGGAGTACCTGATCACCTCATCTGTCTGCTGAGAAATCTCTATGTGGGACAAGAAGCTACAGTTAGAACTGGATATGGAACAACTGATTGGTTCAACATTGGGAAAGGAGTACGACAAGGCTGTATATTATCTCCCTGCTTATTTAACTTATATGCAGAATGCATCATGCGAAAGGCTGGGCTGGATGAATCCCAAGCCGAAATTAAGATTGCCGGAAGAGTTCACCATCCCTCAGACCTTGTGGGGGGCCAGACTATATTTTTTTTTGGGGGGGGAATGAACAAATTCCTATGCCCCACAAATAACCCAGAGATGCATTTTAAATAAAAGGACACATTCTACTCATGTAAAAACATGCTGATTCCCGGACTGTCCGCGAGCCGGATTGAGAAGGCGATTGGGCTGGATCCGGCCCCTGGGCCTTAGGTTGCCTACACCTGTCCTAGTGTGATGCTCTAACCACTACACCACACTGGCTCTTAATCAATAAATTTCCCTCCACTGCACCCTCAAAAAGTGCCTGGGAACTTTTTTGAAATATTAATTCTCTCTCTTTTTTTTTTAATGGTGCTTTTAAAAAAGAAAAAGGAAATCTTTAAGCTGTCTATAGAAAAATGTCTGGTGACCTGTCTATTGGATGGGGTCAAAGCAAAGCAAATGGCCTTTTCCGTTGAAAACGGTTCCTTGTGCTTATGTCCCATTGAAATCAAACCTTTTAAAAGAATTTAGCTGCGGCATCAATGCTTTTTTTTTTTTAATTATTTTAAAATCCCGAAATCCAACGACACCCACAATTTGAAACACTTGCCGAAAAAAGGGGGGAAATATCTGTTTACAAATAAGACTACTCATGTGCATTTTTGTAAAGCAAACACCAGCAGGGCGAGAATTTATTTGGCCATAATTGAGGAGAGGCGAGTGAATCACCGTCAGACTCTTGTAAATTTAACATCCCCAAAGAGGAAACAGATAAAACACACCTTTACAACCATCTCACTCAATCAGAACATAAAAAGCCACATGTCTGAAACCACAAAAGCAACCACTGTGTCACAGATATTTCCCTCAGACACAGATAAAAATTTTAATAGTAGTTTGATCGCCAGAATTTACATAGAACCAGGAAGGAAGTTGGCACCCAAGTCTCATTCTGCCTTCTTAAGCTGATTCCCACCTCCCAATAAAAACTGAAAGACACAACGCACAAACACAAACCCTATCAATTTGTCTAATCTCTGCAGTCATAAGAACCTGGTCTTGCAGGTCCGAATCTGACACTCTAACCACTACACCACGCTGCCTCTTAATCAGAAAATGCCCCCTACTCCTTGAAAAGTGCCTGGGAACTTTTTCACTTTACAATTAAGAATATCTGTGTGCATTTTTGTAAAGCAAACACCAGCAGGGAGAGAGAATTTATTTGGCCATAACTGGGGCGAGGCGAATGAATCACAGTAGGACTCTTGAAGATTTAACAGTCCAGAAAAGGAAGCAGATAAAACTCACCTTTACAACCGGCTCACTCAATCGGAACATCAAAACCACAGGCCGGAAACCACAAAATCTATCCCTTTGTGACATATCTTTCCCATAGACACGGATATAATTGTTGCAAGTGGTTTGATCTCCAGGATTTAAAGGTAAAGGTAAAGGTCCCCTGACCACTAGGTCCAGTCGTGGCAGATTCTGGGGTTGCAGCGCTCATCTCGCTTTATTGGCCGAGGGAGCCGGCGTACAGCTTCCGGGTCATGTGGCCAGCATGACTAAGCCGCTTCTGGCGAACCAGAGCAGCGCACGGAAACGCCGTTTACCTTCCCGCCGGAGTGGTACCTATTTATCTACTTGCACTGGTGTGCTTTCGAACTGCTAGGTTGGCAGGAGCAGGGACTGAGGAACGGGAGCTCACCCCATTGCGGGGATTCGAACCGCTGACCTTCTGATCGGCAAGTCCTAGGCTCTGTGGTTTAACCCACAGCGCCACCCGCGTCTAGGATTTATATAGAGCCAGAAAGGAAGCGAACATCCCAGTCTCGTTCTGCTTCCTCAATCTATTTCCCAACTCCCCCAATAAAGGTTAAAAGACACAGCGCATGCACAAACCCTTTCAGTTTGTTTAAGCTCTGCAGTCGTAAGGCCATAAGATCAGGCCAACATCCTGTTTCAGGCCAGCATCCTGTTCTCCCAGTGGCCAAATACCTCTAGGAACCCAGGTAGACTGCCTCTGAACCTGGAGGTTCCATAAGAAGAGCCTGCTGGACCAGGTCGATGGCCAATTTGGCCAGCATCCTGTTCTCACAGTGGCGGACAAGGTGCTCAAATGGGAAACTCAGAAACAGGATCTGACCACAAGAACGCTCTCCTCTCCTGATATTCAGAATTAATGCCTCTGTCCGTAGAGGCGGGGCATAGCCGTTGTGGCTCTTAGCCACTGATAGTCACAGGTAAGTCTTATCCTTTGCAATCCCACGTATCAAATGAAATCAAATCACCACACAGAACTTGCAGGTGGTGTTTTAGGTGGTAGATCTGTTCTTAGCCATCCACAGAGCACGCATGCAAATATATAATCCTCTCTTTCGTCCATGCAGGTGGGTGTGTCTTTTAAAGTGGAATTGTGGCCATAATAACCAAAAGGGTACCAGTGCCACACCTAGGTTTACCGTCGACTTTCCTTCTACACTTCAGGATCTCCTGGCGCAGGATTCTTACACTGTCGGGGCCTGCTTTTAAAAAGTGCTATTCTCTTCCCCAGAGCATCCCTGGCAGCAGGGTTAAGGAAAGCAACAGCTCCATCTGTCAGTGCTTAAAAGAAACACGCAGCAGACTTCAATGCAGTTTAGCGCTGTACAATTAACTCCAAGGTACTTCAAAAGGCAGGCTTCTCGGCAGTGCGGAAGGAAAGGCCCTGTCGTGTTTCGTCGAGGAAATGAAGGAGGCGTGAGTGGCTTCATAAGCCAGTGGCTAAAAAAATATCAATGTCCTTCAGTGCTGCTCAAGTAATTCTAATGCACTTGGAAGGCTGATTTGCAGGATGAGAGGCTAATGGAAGACATAAACTGAAATATATGGTATAATAATAATAATAGTGGAAAGAGTGTCATTGCACATGTGCAGAGTGCCTTTCCCTCACCACCACTGAGTAGCCAAAGCTGACTCCCACTTATCTGGGGTTTGAAGTGCCTGGATTTCGGTCAGGCCATATAACGTCTCCTGTTTTCAAAAATAAGCACTGGGTTTTTCCCTGATGGTGGGGCATAGAAAACGCTGTTTTTAAAACACAACATTAGCAAAAAGCCGCGGCTTCTTTCGTGCTAGGAGCGCACAGAAGCCAATGCACACAAACACTCACTTCCACACATACAGCCACACGCAAGACGCATGCCTGGACCAGACGTGTGTTTCAGACCTACGAACGATGCGTCATAAATAAAAGAGGGAGGGAGGCAATGATGGGGGGGCAGGAATGCTTTGCAAAAGGCCCTTTTTTTAGTGCAGAAACAGAACATGCCTTGTTGGGTCATCAGAAGAAGGGGGAAACGCGTAGGCACGCCACGGTCCTGCCACCCCAACCTGGTGCTCTCTTTGGAGTTCTGAGTTCGAAACAGCTGGCGGGGACTGGATCAGGGAAGTCTGTAAGACATATCTGGGGACCAGTCAGGGAGCAGGACTCTTTAATGGATGGTCAGCGGACGTCTGCCCCACCCGTCTGCGGATGGAGGGCCTCCCAATCCCATCAGCGTCAAGAAAAGGGCAGTCCACAGACTGGGCCTTGCAGGGATTTTTCTGTCCGCCATTCTTGCATGGGCAGCTGGGAGAGAGGCACCCCTGCCTGCGTCCGGACTTCAGAGGGGAACGTCTCTCTCGGACAGGGGCAAATTCGTGGCTTCTTCTTGGTCTCTGTGCTGGGCCTCTGGTCTCCCTGCGCCGGGGAGTTTGCAGCTGCTGAAATAAAACCACATGCAACAAGTTTGGGGGGTGATGCTGGTGAAATAAAAAAAATTAAGGTCTTATATATATAATGAATGTTCATAAATGTAACAAGCAAACACGTACATAAAGATATAAACCACATGTCTGAAGCAGCACAGGAAAACAGCCCTGAAAACCATTTCGATTCCCAGACTGACCAAATGATTTCTCTGCAAGGTCAAGGAAAATGGAAAAGCCTCCCCATTGTCTTTTCCTTCACAAATCCTGTCTTAAGGGTATGTCTGTGTTTGAATAGGGTGAGCCTGTGGCTCAGGAACTAAGTATCTATCATTACAAAAGACTGGCCAGGCTCCCCAGGGTATCCAATCAAGTGACCATTAACAGGTAACCTGCCAGACAGGAGGTAAACAACGCACTCAGATTTCTGCTGTAGACCGCCTTTTCTGTGATGTAGATATGATGTATCTGGGGGGTGGTCTTGAGCTACACCCCTTCTGTGGTGTATGTATGATGTTTCTGGAGGTGGTCTTGGACTCCAGGGCGGGCAATTTAAAATGTCTATATTAGGGTGGGCACACCTTGGTTCTGGGTCTTCCTCCTTCTCCTGCGTGAGAGGGGAGCACCCTGTTGCAACAGTTCAATAAAGATCAGGCTTACGAGCTGCTTTGCTTCTCAATATTCTCTGGTTGGCCTCTGTTATTTTCTCCGACTGATGGAGAACCTACAAAGGACTCTATAAGGGCTCTTGTGTCCCCCATAAGGGAATAAGGGCAGATTTTCGTTTATTACACTGGAGAGGTCTGAAGGTGCCAGTCGCCATCAGATCTGCTGACTTTCCAGAATTTTGCATCGCTGGAGAGGAGAATTCGGCACAGCCTGGCTAGAGAACAGATGCAGGATTTCAGCCATGGGTTCTTTCTGCTCCCCACCCTGGAGATGGCGGGGAAAGAATCTGGGACCTTCTGCATACAAAGTGATCTGTCACTGAGCTAGCGCCTTCCGCTTAAGAACAAAGCGAGATTCTGGTCCTCATGATTAATAAAGGGCTGATTTAAACAGGAACGCCCCTTATGCCAGGGCTGAAGCAACAGCGGCACCTACAGGCAGCCCAGGACATTGCTAACCCTATCGTAACATTGCCTTCTCTCCCTCCATCCATTCTGAGGCCAGAGGGGGGTTATGCTATGGCCCCACCCACCATCTAGAGAACTAAGGGGTGCTGGTCGGGTGCGAAATATGCACGTAAAAGCACGGTGCCCCTCCAGATCAGACTGCACTGCTCTGAGTATGTAACTTCAAGCATTGGCAACTTAGATCGCTACTTTTCCTCTGCCCTCCCCGTTCCTCTTTCCTCTTGTGTCTTTTAGATTGAGAGCCTGCAGGCAAGGCTTGCCTGACCTTTCAATCTCCTAGGACACCTGAGAAGCTTTACAAGTAAGGAACAATGTTATGAAACCACCTGGGTCAGAGCATTGGTCCATCTAACCATGTTGTCTACTCTGGCTGGCAGCCGCTCTCAGTCTTTCCCATCATGTTCTCCCAATGGACCTTTGTTTTTAATTTGGAGGTGCCAGGCTTTTGCATTAAATGTAGGCAATCTCTCCCCCGCCAATGAGCTAAAGCCTCTTTCCTATTGTTGCCAACTGCCACACAGACACCTTGCTCTCGTGTACCTACAGTGGTGTGAAAGGCGTCAGGCTTGGCTCCCGGGGTCTCCTCTTGGCCCCAATCCGGTGGCTCCTGGGGAAAGGAGAGACAGATAAATCTTTTTGATCTTTTTTTTGGCAATTTTATTTATTTATTAACGTTCTTATGTAGATTCCTATGATGTAAGTCACGAAATTAAAAGACTCCTGCTTCTTGAGAGAAAAGCAATGACAAACCTAGACAGCATCTTAAAAAGCAGAGACATCACCTTGCCGACAAAGGTCCGTATACTTAAAGCTATGGTTTTCCCAGTAGTGATGTATGGAAGCGAGAGCTGGACCATAAAGAAGGCTGATCGCCGGAGAATGGATGCTTTTGAATTCTGGTGCTGGAGGAGACTCTTGAGAGTCCCATGGACTGCAAGAAGATCAAACCTCTCCATTCTTAAAGAAATCAGCCCTGAGTGCTCACTGGAAGGACAGATCCTGAAGCTGAGGCTCCAAGACTTTGGCCACCTCATGAGAAGAGAAGACTCCCTGGAAAAGACCCTGATGTTGGGAAAGAGGGAGGGCGCAAGGAGAAGGGGATGACAGAGGACGAGATGGTGGGACAGTGTTCTCGAATCTACCAGCATGAGTTTGACCAAACTGTGGGAGGAGTGCCTGGCATGCTCTGGTCCAGGGGGTCACAAAGAGTCAGACACGACTAAACGACTAAACAACAAGAAATGATGTGAGTCATGGGCCCCGCCTGCTAGGCTGCTCCCTAAAATATCCCTGGTTTGCTCCTTTCGATATCAATTGCTTTGATAAGATATATATTTTGTTATGTGCAAATGGCTTTAGATGCCTATTAGGCCCATAAATTACCATATAGCATATATTCAACACAAAAAACAGCGACCATTTGTTATTGACAAAGGACAGCTGGACATATAAAGGGCCCCATTACCTTCAGGAGCTGAGGGCCTCATCAAACCTCAATCCGGCCCTGGGCAGGAAGGTAGCCTTGGCAACACCTATGCTCAGAGATCTGCTCTGCTTCCCAATGGCCACAGTCAAGGTGCTGCTATTAATATATAAAGCCCTGAACAATTTGGGACCGGTTCACCTGTGAGATCACCTTATCCCAAGTACCTCCCCCTCAACCGCTTCGATCTCTGGAAGTGGCCCAGTTCCAGATGCCACATAAGACCCAGTTCCACATCTGTAAGAAGTCAATATTTTAGTGTGGCAGCACCTGCACTCTGGCACCTGGCAAATAGATGGTGATGCATGTTTTCATTGTTCATTTTATCTTTCAAATGTTTTAAAGAGTTTTCATGGTTAGTTCTGCTGTTCTGGCAGTTCCCTCCCTGCGAGAAGTGAGGTTACAGAGAACCAGGCAGAGGGCCTTCTCAGTGGTGGCACCTGCCCTGTGGAACGCCCTCCCACCGGATGTCAAAGAGAAGAACAACTACCAGACTTTTATAAGACATCTGAAGGCAGCTCTGTTTAGGGAAGCTTTTAATGTTTAACAGACCACTGTATTTTAATACTTTGTTGGAAGCCACCCAGAGTGGCTGGGGAAACCCAGCCAGATGGGCGGGGTATAAATAATAAATTAGTTTATTACAATCAAGTGGTATCTTAATCTTATGAAATAAGTACAGTGGTACCTCGGGTTAAGTACTTAATTCGTTCTAGAGGTCCGTTCTTAACCTGAAACTGTTCTTAACCTGAAGCACCATTTTAGCTAATGGGGCCTCCTGCTGCCACCACCGTGTGATTTCTGTTCTCATCCTGAAGCAAAGTTCTTAACCCGAGGTATTATTTCTGGGTTAGCAAGGTCCGTAACCTGAAGCATCTGTAACCCGAGGTACCACTGTAAATACTTACACAATGCCCACATCCATCCCTTTACCACTTACCTCTCGCCTTTCAAACGTTTCCGCCGAGGCCTGGAAAAAAAGGAAAACATATATTTACACTCTAGGTAACAAGCGGAAGGGGAGGGATTCATTGAAGCTGATCTGGTGTGCGTGCCTCCCGTAGAAAAAGCACCCAGTCCTGCATCCTGTTTTCGAAGTGGCCAAATATCCCTAAGAACCCAGGAATGCAGATAGACTGCCTCTGGAGCTGGAGGCTCCACAAGGACCTAAGAAGAGCCTGGCTGTTGGATCAGGCCAATGGCCCAACTAGTCCAGCATCCTCCATAAATTTGTCTCTTCCTCTTTTCAAGCCATCCAAGTGGGTGGCCATCCCTGCTTCCTGTGGCAGTGAGTTCCATGGTCTAACTCTCTGCTGTGTGAAAGGAGCCCTTTCCTATATCTGTCCTGAATTTCCAGCTTCATTTTATGTCCATGAGTTCTAGTCTTATGAGAGAGGGAGAAGAGAAATTGCCACTTTCTCCATGCCACACATGCGAAACATGCTCTAAGTGTGATTTGATGAATGATCTTATGAATATCTACACGAGTTTGGAAGGCAGAATAGCCTGGTGTGGGTACAAAACCCAATCCTTTCTCAATAATAATAATAATAATAAAATTGTATTTATATCCCGCCCTCCCCAGCTGAAGCCGGGCTCAGAGCGGCTAACAACAGTAAAATAATACAACATTCTAAAATCAGTTCATTATAAAATCAGTTCAAATCAAATTGATGGCAAACTTTGGGCTAAAGTTCTATGAGGATTACCGAAGGAGGGGGTCAGATTGTGCCTTGGCCAAAGGCCTGGTGGAACAGCTCTGTCTTGCAGGCCCTGTGGAAAGATGTCAAGTCCCACAGGGCCCTAGTCTCTTGTGACAGAGCGTTCCACCAGGTTGGGGCCAGTACTGAAAAGGCCCTGACTCTGGTTGAGGCCAGCCTAACCTCCCTGTGGCCCGGGACCTCCAAGATGTTTTTGTTTGAAGACCGTAAGGTCCTGTGTGGGACATACCAGGAGAGGCGGTCCTGTAGGTACGAGGGTCCTGGGCCGTATAGGGTTTTAATATACTTAATTCTGCTCTAGTTAAATTATGAGAAGACAAATTAACAACTAATGATTCTGTTGAAATCCTTTTCTCCGGTGAGGACGTGTCATCTGGCCCTTGCAAAAACCTGGATAGCACTTACCGGATCGAAGCTGCAATTCCCTATCTCTCTCCAAGTCACTGTCACTGTGACTGGAGGCACTAATGGAATCACAGTCACTAGGGAAATCACGTGGCGTATTACCACCAGCATGTCTCCTGATCTGTTTGTTCTTGTTTTTACCATTGTCACTAAACCACTAATATACGTTGTTGTGAGCATAATCATTTTTGTCCCCGTTGAATTTCTGCACTTTCAATTTCTTGACCTCCTCCATGAAGGTCTTTAGATCCTTCTCCAGTCTGCACCAATTTGTTCATTTCCTGAGTTTTTAGTTGAGCTTTCAGATTATCCGATAGCATACTTATTTATAAACTTCGACCATATCGCTCCTTCCTCTTCTTTTCCCCTGAACTAAAGAGTCCCATATGCGCATGTTCTTAAATTCAGGGAATGGGTGGATATGGGAGAGAGAGAGAGGGGAAACACTCTGCACGTGCTCAGGGGCACTTTTACAAGTGCACCATACATTATAGGGATGAGCTGTGGTTTGGAAAATAGGTTCTGGGGTGCAGCGAGAATGAGCTGTGGCGTGAAAGTGAACACTTTATGCCACCCCCCGACATCCAGTTGCAGACCCTCCCTGCCAAATCTCCCAGCTGGCTCCTGCTTGGCCTTCGTCTTACCTGCAAGAGCAGCGGGTGTGCTCCACAAACTTCATTTCTTCCTGCTGAGTCGTGCCCAGGATGGGGCTCACTCGGACCACCTGCCAAGAGGAAAGGGAGACACGTCACCTTCCACCAGCTGCACCCACTCCAGCTCCTGTCCTCCCCAGGCACCTGCCACACTAGAGGGCGGAGACCATAGCTGTCAACTTACAGATTTGGAAATAAGGGACCAGCAGCCTCGAAAATAAGGGATCAGCAGCCAAAATAAGGGATTTTCAGAGCACAGGTATGTTCAACTTCTGAGCCCCTCCGAGCCAACGGCAGAAAGCCCAGCTAGCAGCCAAATGAAGCCTCAAGCGGTGGTTCCCACAGCGCAGCAACCCGGCAAAGGGGATGCAGCAAGGAAAACCACCGTCACCTCTCCGCTGGGAAGCGCTGAGCAAAGGCGAGTCCCCAGGCAACGCGGCCAATTTGATCGGCACAAGGCATGCAAGCTCCACCCCCCAGTCATTCTTAGACTCCTTATTGGGTGAGCAACGCAGCCAAGCAACACAATTGGAGCCTCCCTCCTCCCTGGCAGGGAGGGAGGGAGGGAGAGGAGCTGCTTCCTTTGAAACCCGGGAAATTTAAGGGACATCATCAATCTGGGACAGCAGTGGGACATGGCGCTGGGATAAGGAAGTTTCCTGCTAAATAAGGGACAGTTGACAGCTATGGCGGAGACAGTGTGCTGGGGCAGACTGAACTTTGGGCCTCATCCAGCCAGACATACCCTCGCATGCCTGATAGGCGTCTCGCCCAATCCTGGGTCAGATCTAATGTTAGTCATACGGATTCGACCCATTGGCATCCATCATGGAATCACAGAATTGGAAGGGGCACCCGAGGGTCATCTAGTCCAACCCACTGCAATGCAGGAATCTCAACTGAAGCATTCATGACTGATGGCCATCCAGCCACTGCTTAAAAACCTCCAGTGAAAGAGAATCCATCACCTTCCGAGGTGTTGAACAGCTCTTCACTGTCTTGCCTAAGGTTTAGTCGGAATCTCCTGTCTTGTATCTCGAAGCTATGGGTTCGAGTCCTACCTTCTGGAGCAGGAGAAAACAAGCTAGTTCCATGTGATGAAAATGACGTATAGGTGGTATATTACACCGGTGAAACTGGCTAAAATGTATAAAACAAGTAATAAATGTTGGAAATGTAAAGAAAAGGAAGGAACTTTTTATCAGATGTGTTGGGAATGTAAAAAAGTGAAAAACTTCTGGGAAATGATATATAATGAGATGAAAAAGATGTTGAAATATACATTTATTAAGAAATCAGAAGCATTTTTACTTGGCATTGTAGGAGATGAGATTAATAGACAGGACTGTAAGTTGTTTTTATATGCAGTGACGGCTGCAAGAATATTACTGGCACAAAAATGGAAGCAAGAAGAAATACTGACGATAGAAGAATGGCAGATGAAATTGATGGACTATGCAGAATTGGACCAATTAACTGGAAGGATTCGAAACCTGCAGGATCAGAGATTCTTAGAAGACTGGAGTAAATATATGAATTGTTTGAAAAGTAATAGTAATGAACAGATTACGCTAGTAGGATCGCAAGAAGTTTTGTAAGGAGAACTATATGAAATATTGCAAGAAAGACTATGAAAGAATTATTAGTTGGTGGCAATTAAGAGTAACAGAAACGCAGAATAAGTGAAAAAAGGTGGAAAATCATCAGGGGTGTTGACGGAGGTCTAAAACAATGTATAAGATAAGAAGATATGTGATTGTTGGAAATGATATGTTTTTAAAACACACACACACATAGATAGATACACACACACACACACACACACACACACACATATAGATAGATAGATACACACAATAGATAGCATATACACACACCGCACACACACACACACACACACACACAAACTAGTTCCCTCTTCCATATGCAAAGGTGGCTATCATATCACCTTTCAGTCTCCTCTTTTCCAGGCTCAGCTACCTCAACCGTTCTTTGCAAGACTTGGGAGGTTCATCTGCCATGAGTTTTTTAGTTGTGATCCCTGCATTGACTGGGGGTTCAGCTACATGACCCCAGGGGGGCCCTGCCAACCCTACAGTACTATGAGCATTAAGTGTGCCTCTGGTTTTACATGTAACTAAGCAACTGTGAGTCTGGGACCCTGAGCAGACGCCCAGTTGCTGCAGTAAGTGGAGTGAGGTTGAGGGAACACCACCAGAGCTTTGCAAGGTGATGACGTTAAGGAAGGGCTGAAGTTGCGGTTCCTGCTTTGCAGCGGGTTGAGCTGGATGACCTTTGGGGGTCCCTTTGAACTCTACAATTCCGTGATGCCTCTGTGGTTCTAGGACCAGGCAGGGCAGCAGCCCTTTCCCCACCGGCGCACCTGCAAGTCGATGGTCCGGGTCTCCACGGCGATGCACTCCAGGCTCTCGTCTCCACAGCAACCGGCACATCTCCAGAGGGGGACGCAGGGGGGCTTGAAGATGTGCTCGGCCTCGTGGGGGAATTCGCTCAGGATGTCCACCAGGGTCTCCCGGGCTCGGCAGTAGCTGCGGCTCCAGACCTCCTCGAAGGGCACCACTGAAGGACATATAGTCAATATCTACATGAAGCCGCTGGGAGAGATCATCAGGGGGTTTGGGCTGGGTGTCCATCAATATGCGGATGATAGCCAGCTCTACCTCTCTTTCAAATCAGAACCGGTGAAGGTCCTGTGTAAGTGTCTGGAGGCTGTTGGAGGACGGATGGTGGCTAACAGATTGAGGTTGAATCCTGACAAGACAGGAGGACTGTTTTGGGGGAAACAGGGGATGGGCAGGGGTGGGGGATTCCCTGGTCCTGAATGGGGCAACTGTGCCCCTGAAGGACCAGGTGCGCAGCCTGGGAGTCATTTTGGACTCACAGCTGTCCATGGAGGCGCAGGTCAATTCTGTGTCCAGGGCGGCTCCATCTGGTACACAGGATGAGACCCTCCCTGCCCTCAGACTGTCTCGCCAGAGTGGTGCATGCTCTAGTTATCTCCCGCTTGGACTACTGCAATGCGCTCTATGTGGGGCTACCTTTGAAGGTGACCCGGAAACTGCAACTAATCCAGAATGCGGCAGCTAGACTGGTGACTGGGAGTGTTGTGGTTAGTTCTGAGGAGTACTGAGAGTGAGAAGTTGTGTTGTAAATAGTAACTTTTGCATTGGCTCCCAGTCCGTTTCCGAGCACAATTCAAAGTGTTGGTGCTGACCTTTAAAGCCCTAAACGGCCTTGGCCCAGTATACCTGAAGGAGCGTCTCCACCCCTATCATTTTGCCCGGACACTGAGGTCCAGCTCTGAGGGCCTTCTGGCGGTTCCCTCACTACGAGAAGTGAGACACGCTGCCCAGGCTTGAGCCCCAGGGACAGTGCTGGATTTACGTATATAAGCTAAACAAGCTCCAGCTTAGGGCCCCACTTTCTTGGGGGCCCCAAAGAAATTTAAAGGAAAAAACCTGGATGTACATTGCCAAAATATAAGATACAAAACAAATAAAACCTACATACAGCAACAGTGTTTTGTGTTGTGTAGGCTCCTGTGATGTAAGCAATGGGCCCCGCCTGCTAGTCTGCTCCCTCAAATATCACTGGTTTCCTCATTTCTATATATAGGGTGCCGACATTCTGCATGTGCAAATGGCCTGAGATACCTATTAAAAGTAAAGTTAAAGGGACCCCTGACCATTAGGTCCAGTCGTGGCCGACTCTGGGGTTGCGGCACTCATCTCGCTTTACTGGCCAAGGGAGCCGGCGTACAGCTTCCGGGTCATGTGGCCAGCATGACTAAGCCGCTTCTGGCAAACCACAGCAGCGCACGGAAACGCCGTTTACCTTCCTGCTGGAGTGGTACCTATTTATCTACTTGCACTGGCGTGCTTTCGAACTGCTAGGTTGGCAGGAGCAGGGACCGAGCAACGGGAGCTCACCCTGTCGCGGGGATTCGAACCGCCGACCTTCTGATTGGCAAGCCAAGACTAAGTGGTTTAAACCACAGTGCCACCCGCGTCCCCCTTTACCTTTACCTTTTTATAAAATCTAAATGGAACTCCAGCCAGTAATCTGGCCAAAGCATTTTGGACCGACTGAAAACCCCATGTGGAGCACATTGCAGTGATCCAGCCTGAAAGTTACCAGTGCCTGGAGTTCAGTGGCCAAGTCATCTCTGTCCGAAAGGGGTTGTAGCTGGGAAACAAAACGCTCTTTGACACTGGGTGCAAACTCTGCAGTTTGGAAGGTTGTGGCTTTTCCACGTGGGGAAGGCAGTGAGTTTTTCAGAAAGGGGAAGGTGGGGACAAGAAACTCACCTCCTGCTGGCTGCTCAGAAGTCAACACCGGCTGTAAGTGAACGGAGGACCAGTTAGAAAGGAGAACCTTTGGGTGGGGTCTGTGATAGTACGCTGAGGTCCAGCACAGAGAGCCTTCTGGCGGTTCCCTTACTGTGAGAAGCCAAGTTACAGGGAACCAGGCACAGGGCCTTCTCGGTGGTGGCGCCCTCCCTGTGGAACACCCTCCCACAAGATGTCAAGGAAATAAACAACTACAGTGGCACCTGGGTTCTCAAACGCCTTGATACTCAAACAACTTGGAACCCAAACACTGCAAAGCTGGAAGTAAGTGTTCTGGTTTGCGAACTTTTCTCGGAAGCCAAACATGCTCCGTTTTGAGTGTTATGCTTCCGATTTGAGTGTTACGCTGAGGTCTGTCTGTTTTTGCTATTTTGCTTTTTGGTTTTGTGACTGTGTGAAACCCAATTCAGCTACTAATTGATTGATCGTGTGACTGCAGTACATTGTTTATTGCTTTCATTTTATGGATCAATGGTCTTGTTAGATTGTAAAGTTCATATTAAATTGCTGTTTTAGAGGTTGTTTTTAAAAGTCTGGAACAGATTAATCCGTTTTGCATTACCGTACTTTCTTTAGGAAAGCGCGCCTTGGTTTTGGAACGCTTTGGTTTTGGTACGGACTTCTGGAACGGATTAAGTTTGAGAACCAAGGTACCACTGTGTGTGACTTTTGGAAGACATCTGAAGGCAGCCCTGTGTAGAGAAGTTTTTAATGTTTGATGTTTTCTTGTAGGTAGACCTTAATTCTAAAACAGTTCTTTTAAAACTATCTAGAAGCTGCTGTACCAGGGATAGCCACTAGATGGCGGTCCACCGCTACAAGACAATTAAAAGCTTCAGCTCAAGGGGAACAATCGGCTGGTTTTCGGGGGCAAAAATGGTTGTCTATAATCATTTTATCATTCCATAAAATTTATACACCGTTTAATTGTATAAAAAAGAGATATACAGCAGTTTGCAAAAAAAACAAAAAACCCCAATGAAATTAGCAATAAGAGGAACTGAGGACAAAAAATTGAGTCTTTCAGAAAATTTAAAGGCTAAAAACAGGCTAAAACATTAAAACTCGCACCAGCTTTCTCAATATCTGTGCAAAACGGCATTAATTCATTTATTTACAGGCTACAGCTCGTCTCGCCATGCTTTTGAACGTGCGCGTGTCCACCTGCAGAGAGAGTCTTGCCCTGGAATTTCTTAAATAAATTAACAGCTTTGCCTAGTGGTTAGAATCCCCCACTGGACCGTGTTGCTGCCTCTCAGCCTAACCTACCTCGGGGGGCTGTTGTGGGGATTAAATGAGGACGGGAGGCATGCAGGCGCAGCTCCTTGGAGGAACAGGTGGGGCAGAAATATGGTAAATAAATAACAATAAATAAATATTTTTTTAAGGCAAAGACCTTCTCCTTTTCTCAGGCTTCCGAATCAATTCGAGCTGTTTTGCCTCCTCTGGGTTTGTTGGTTTCTCGGCCGCTTCTAGGGATATAACTGGGGCGCGGCGGTGCGGCATATTTTCCCCTTACTTTTAACGTGGCTTATTTGGCTGTCGCTTAGAGACGATGGAGCGCATCTCGTTTCGGCTGATCCAGAGGACAGGACCCAAACCAAACAAGAAAAGGCTGGAGGCTCATAAGCAGAGGCGATGAATAAGGCAATGAAATTAATAATGTCTAATAAATACAAAAAAAGGTCGCTAATGAACGGAGAAGAAATCTGTGCCTCTGCTGCCAAAAAAAACCCCCGCTTTGCAAGGGACCACGGCGCGCTCTGCCTGGGACAGAAATAGTTTCTCGCCTCCTTCCAAACTCTCTGCACCCCCAGATGCATTTTTTAAAAATACGCAAGGCTGGATAGTTCAGGGGAATTTAACACCCGTCTCCCGCCGGCTCTGCCCACGGCAACAGCGAGGCGAGGCTTCCTGGGACACATGGCAAGACCTTCGTGCTGGGTCTTTTTCTTCCCTTTTCCACTTTTTGAAGAGGGCATGCAGGAGCCCCGAGCCCTGGAAGAGACCCCCGCGCCTTTCCCTCCTCCTCCAGACCCCACCCGGTGCCACCCGGAGGCTCTTTTTACCTGAGCGCACAAGAGGGCGATTGCCACCAGGTACCCAGGGACTGGCATCCTCTTCGTCCTGGATCTGCTCGAGGAGCGGTGCTGGAGCAGCGAGGTCCAGGCTCGCCCAGCTCCGGAGTCAGCAGAGGAGGGCATCAGCCAAGCCGGAGGGTGGCAAGCGGGTGGCACGGACCGGGCGCTCCATGGCTGGCAGCGGAGAGGGACACCCTTCTTCTGACCCGTTTCTCCTGGAAGTTGGAAGCAAATAAGAGGATGGACGAAATGAGGGAGGGAGAGGCTGGGGGGGGGCTGGGGGGGCGGCAGGAAGGGACAGAGGGAAGCGGGATCAGGGCATGTCCTGGAGAGAAGGAAATAAAGTTGGAGCTCCACCCCAGCTGGAAAAAGGAGGGGCTTTCAAAGGAAGGCTGCCCCCCCCCCGTCGAAGCTCCAGCTGGAGCCTCTCCAGGGCTCTGTCTGTGCTCAGGGCACCGGGGGTGAGGCGGGGGGTGGGTGGCAACTTAGCAGAGGCTAGGGAAGGATCCCTGCGCCCTGGCACGGGCAGCGGCGCCTGCGTGCGTCTTGGCGCACGGACACGGGGCGCTCCTGTGGCCACGGGCAGGTGGAAGAGTCTTGTGGCATCTGAAAGGAGGGCGGTGCCAGTGTTGTGCGGTGGTCAGAGCGGGGGGTCGCAAAGCGGGCCGTGGCGCCCCCTGGGAGCGGGGGCGGGATTCACCGAGGGGCGCTGGAAGTGGTGATTTAGGAACCCTGCTTTGCTGTTGTTGTTGTTTAGTCGTTTAGTCGTGTCCGCCTCTTCGTGACCCCCTGGACCAGAGCACGCCAGGCACTCCTGTCTTCCACTGCCTCCCACAGTTTGGTCAAAACTCATGCTGGTAGCTTCAAGAACACTGTCCCACCATCTCGTCCTCTGTCGTCCCCTTCTCCTTCTGCCCTCCATCTTTCCCAACATCAGGGTCTTTTCCAGGGAGTCTTCTCTTCTCATGAGGTGGCCAAAGTCTTGGAGCCTCAGTTTCAGGATCTGTCCTTCCAGTGAGCACTCAGGGCTGATTTCCTTCAGAATGGAGAGGTTGGATCTTCTTGCAGTCCATGGGACTCTCAAGAGTCTCCTCCTGCGCCAGAATTCAAAAGCATCCATTCTCCAGCGATCAGCCTTCTTTATGGTCCAGCTCTCACTTCCATACATCACTACTGGGAAAACCATAGCTTTAACTATACGGACCTTTGTTGGCAAGGTGAGGTCTCTGCTTTTTAAGATGCTGTCTAGGTTTGTCATTGCTTTTCTCCCAAGAGCAGGCGTCTTTTAATTTCATGACTGCTGTCACCATCTGCAGTGATCATGGAGCCCAAGAAAGTAAAATCTCTCACTGCCTCCATTTCTTCCCCTTCTATTTGCCAGGAGGTGATGGGAAGAACCCTGCTGAAGCGGCTTTATTAAGCCAGACGTGTGGAAACGGGTTATCACTTCATCAAGGACACCCATTGCATTGAGAATGTGCTGAGCAGCCAGTTAGTCCCCAATAATGTGGAATGCTAAGACTCTTGCTAAATGACTGTCAGATTTTGAAAGGCAGGAGCCGCTGGACTGAGTTCATCTGTGCTGTTGAATTAATTAAACTACATCGTTTAGATTGGAATCCGAATAAAGATACAATTAATCTTCCCTGCTGTGAATTTTATTGGGCTATTATCTTGCTCAGTGGGTCGTGGAATCTGCTATTTTGAATAATGCTTTTTATACGGTGGGTGGGGTTCTGGGGCATGAATTTATGGAAGCGAAGGGGTGTCTGAGTTTGGGAGCCACTGCAATAATAATAATAATAATAATAATAATAATTTATTATTTTTACCCCGCTTATCTGGCTGGGTTTCCCCAGCCACTCTGGGCTGCTTCCAACAGAATATTAAAATACAATAGTATATTAAACATTAAAAACCTCCCTAAAACTGGGCTGCCTTCAGATGTCTTCTAAAAGTCTGGTAGTTGTTCTTCTCTTTGACATCTGATGGGAGGGCGTTCCACAGGGCGGGTGCCACCACCGAGAAGGCCCTCTGCCTGGTTCCCTGTAACTTGGCTTCTCGCAGGGAGGGAACCGGCAGAAGGCCCTCGGTGCTGGACCTCAGTGTCCGGGTCAGAACGATGGGGGTGGAGACGCTCCTTCAGGTCTACTGGGCCTTTGAGTCCGTTTAGGGATTTAAAGGTCAGCACCAACACTTTGAACACTGCTTTAGCATGTAGGACTGAGACCTGGGAGAGAGCAGGGTTCATATCCTCCCACTTGGCCATGGGGTTCACCAGGCGTAGCCTTCAGGGCCAGTCACTGCCTGACAGCTTAACCTACCTCGAAGGGCTGTTGTGAAGATTAAATGAAGAGCAGGAGGAGAACCATAGGCACCACTTTGAGCTCCTTGGAGAAAAGGGGGAGATATAAATACAACAAATAAACAATAAGAAGAACACACTGAGTGGGAAAGAATACACTTATCTGATCCCTAGAATGTCATCCTGAATTGCATGGGTATCTAAGTCCATATTGAGGCCTGCGGAGATGTAACCCATGTTTAACCCATTGTTTTAAATGGTTTTTAGCATGGGTTTTTAATGGTTGTAGCTGCCCTGGGACCTTGGAGTGGAATGGTAGGTGATAAATGATTGTAATTAATGATACAATGCATACCTTTATTAGGCCGGCCAAATACCACAAAATGAAATATCACAAAATCAGCTCCTGAGTCCTCCAGAAATCTTCATCAGGCTTGATGGGGAAAGGGAGGAGGGGAAGGGGAAGGGTTTTGGTTTTTCGGCTGTTCAAAACATGAAGATTCAGGCCAACATTTCCCCCTCCCTGCCTGCTTCCCATCCCATCTCACTGTTCCGTTTTCTTGCTGGCCTGTTGAAGGACTGTGAAGAAACCAAAAGCTTCCAGCCTATTTTGCAATATTTGGTTTGGCCTGTTATGAGCTCTGGAATTTTTTCTTACAGACCAACATATGTGTGTGTGTGTGTGTGTGTGTGTGTGTGTGTGTGTGACTTAGACAGAGAGATATTTGATGCAGGCATCTGAAAGATCACCACATCTGCTGAGGAAAGGGGTCTCTGCACATGCTCTGGGGCACTCTCTTCTACCGCCACCCAGAACAGCAGCATCCACCAGACAAGACAACATTCTGAAGCAATGGGGGAGGGAGCATAATTCCCAGGCCCTCTTACATTTCTTGCCTTTTTTATCATTTAATGGCTTTCACTTGCTAGGAAAGCGCTCTCTGCACATGCTCCACTTTGTGGTTTTCCAATAATAATAATAATAATAATAATTATTATTTATTTATTTATTTATATCCCACCCTCCCCAGCTGAAGCCGGGCTCAGAGTGGCTAACAACAATAAAAGTAACACAGCATTCTAAAATCAATTCATTTTAAAATCAATTCAAAATCAAATTAATGACAACCATTGGGCTAGAGTTCTGTGAGGATTATCAAAGGAGTGCAAAGGAGTGCAATACACAAGCCCCAAGGGGAGAAGAGAAGACTGGGTGGTGATACGATAAAAGGTAAAGGTAAAGGGGGCCCTGACCATTAGGTCCAGTTGTGGCCGACTCTGGGGTTGCAGCGCTCATCTCGCTTTATTGGCCGAGGGAGCCGGCGTACAGCTTCCGGGTCATGTGGCCAGCATGACTAAGCCGCTTCTGGCGAACCAGAGCAGCGCACGGAAACGCCGTTTACCTTCCCGCCGGAGCGGTACCTATTTATCTACTTGCACTTTGACGTGCTTTCGAACTGCTAGATGGGCAGGAGCAGGGACCGAGCAACGGGAGCTCACCCTGTCGCGGGGATTCGAACTGCCGACCTTCTGATCGGCAAGTCCTAGGCTCTGTGGTTTAACCCACAGCGCCACCCGCGTCCATTGGTGATACGATAGCCATCTTCAGATATCTGAAGGGTTGTCAGGGGGAAGATGGAGTAGACTTATTTCCTCCTGCTCTGGAGGGTAGGACTTGAACCCGTGGTTTCAAATTATGACGCCTTGGGATCCCTTCCAACTCGAGAAGTCTATGATTCTGTGAGATTCCAGTACTGAAAAGCGGTGTGCCATCAGGGCAGCTCCCCCTGAATCTCTTTGGTCTGAACGAGGAGGCCTTGGGGTGTGTGTGTGGGATTCCCACTCCTTTTCTCTTGCTGTGTCATTTCCCACCTGAGGAAGCCCTGTCTCCTGCAGATCCTGTCCGCCTCACACTGCAGTCAACAAAGCTAACAGGGTCATGCGCTTTGGACCAGCTGGGATCACCGCACAGGTGTCTTCTACACGACCCTCCAAAAAGCAGGGATGGCGTCAGTCCAACGGGCTCAATTCCTGGATGCAGCTGCCGGACATTTGCCGGCCCAGCAGCTGGCTCCTGCGTGGCTCACAGCTACAGAACGGGACAGGCTTTTGGCATTGGGACGGCCCCGGCATTGCTGGAGTCAGCGGACACTTTGCAAGGCTGGGAAGCAAGCTCAGCACACAAGGAACCAAGGCTGGGCCGGATGAGGGGATTTGACCGACAGTCATCAATCGTGGACCTGCTGACAGCTTGCATGTCTGTTTGACTTTGATCAGCGGAGGGAGGAGGAGGAGGAGGGGAGCCCGGTCAGAGGGGAGGGAAGTGACCCCATTTAGGGAGATCTCCGCTGGTGGGGTGAGGAAGCATCCCTTCCACAAGGAGACCACAGGGACATAATTCACCCTCCCTCTTGTGCTCTGGCCTTCATTCCCTCGCTTAAGGAATCATGGAACTGTAGAGTTGGAAGGGAACATCAACGGTCATCTAGCCCAACCCCTTGCATGCAAGAATCCCAGCTAAAGAATCGGCCCAGTATACCTGAAGGAGCGTCTCCACCCCCGTGATTCTGCCTGGACACTCAGGTCCAGCTCCAAGAGCCTTCTGGCAGTTCCCTCACTGTGAGAAGTGAAGCTACAGGGAACCAGGCACAGGGCCTTCTCGGTGGTGGCGCCCGCCCTATGGAACGCCCTCCCGTCAGATGTCAAGGAAATAAACAACTATCTGACATTTAGAAGACATCTGAAAGAAGCCCTATTTAGGGACATTTTTCATGTTTGATGTTTGATCATGCTTTTAATATTCTGTTGAGAGCTGCCCAGAGTGGCTGGGGAAACCCAGCCAGATGGGTGTAGTATAAATTTATTATTATTATTATTATTATTATTATTATTATTATTATTATTATTAGCCCATACAACCTGTCTTTCAACAGAGGAGAGGGTGCCACTTTCCGAGGGAGTCTCACTGCCAACTTCATAGAACCACAGAATTGTGGAGCTGGAAGGGACCCCAAGGGTCATCTATTCCAACCCCTTGCAATGCGACTTCTTTGTAGTATCTGGTTGGTGGGCTCTGGGATGGCAAAACCAGAAGAGAAGGGCCCCCTTTGGTCTGCCTACCCTCTGTCAATGCCCTAGTTTGCGTGGCCTAGCTGGTGGTGTCTTGTTATTTTAGGCAGTGTGGGGTCAGCCTAGATGGCCTTTGGATTCATTCCCCACCAATCATTATTATGAGTAATCAGGATCTATGCCACAGGGCTATCCAGGTATATAGGCCTTTTTAAAGCGTAAAGTGGGGGGAGCAAAGGAAAGAGAAGAAGGGGGCGATGGGAGGGGCACCCAAAGGCCAGGGTGTCGGATGTGAAGAACAGGCACAGAGCTGCTCTGAGCCTTTGCTGCCTTTATACAAATCTATGGTGCAACCACATTTGGAATGCTGTGTGGCGCTGGGGTCTAAACCACTGAGCCTCTTGGGCTTGCCGATCGGAAGGTCGGCGGTTTGAATCCCTGCAACCGGGTCAGGGGTGTAGCTAGCTGCTCCAGCTCCCGAAGCAGCGGGGGCAGGGCGATCCGCTGTGGCGATCTCCCGGGGGGGGGGGCAGCGTAGGGCCCACGGAGTCCGCCTGGCAGCTGCAAACCCCACATTGACGTTTCGGGCAGCGCAGGGCCCTGAGCCACCGTGTCACTCCCAGGCAAGATGTGTGGCTGGGGGCGCTGCAGGACAGGCCACCCCCCACGGTGTGCTATTTTGTCACCCCCTCAGGGATGACACCCGGGTCAGACCACACCCCCCCCGCCCCTTCCTAGGCCCCTGGAAGGGGTGAGCTCCCGTTGCTCTTTCCCTGCTCCTGCCAACCTAGCAGTTTGAAAGCACACCAGTGCAAGTAGATAAATAGGTACCACTCCGGCAGGAAGGTAAACGGCGTTTCCATGCGCTCTGGTTTCCGTCATGGTGTCCCGTTGCACCGGAAGCAGTTTAGTCCTGCTGGCCACATGACCCAGAAAGCTGTCTGCGGACAAACGCCGGCTCCCTCGGCCTGAAAGCGAGATGAGCGCCGCAACCCCAGAGTCACCTTTGACTGGACTTCACCGTCCAGGGGTCCTTTGCCTTTACCTTGCTAGCCACATTGCCCATGTTCTGCTTTTGCAGTGGGAGGCAGCGATGTTTTTGAATACCAGTTGCTGGAAACCACAGTCACAAAATAAAAAGACGCCTGCTTGGGAGAAAAGCAATGATAAACCTAGACAGCATCTTAAAAAGCAGAGACATCACCTTGCCGACAAAGGTCCGTATAGTAAAAGCTATGGTTTTCCCAGTAGTGATGTATGGAAGCGAGAGCTGGACCATAAAGAAGGCTGATTGCCAAAGAATGGATGCTTTCAAATGATGGTGCTGGAGGAGACTCTTGAGAGTCCCATGGACTGCAAGATCATCAAACCTCTCCATTCTGAAGGAAATCAGCCCTGAGTGCTCACTGGAAGGACAGATCCTGAAGCTGAGGCTCCAAGACTTTGGCCACCTCATGAGAAGAGAAGACTCCCTGGAAAAGACCCTGATGCTGGGAAAGATGGAGGGCACAAGGAGAAGGGGACGAGAGAGAACGAGATGGTGGGACAGTGTTCTCAAAGCTACCAGCATGAGTTTGACCAAACTGCGGGAGGCAGTGGAAGACAGGAGTGCCTGGCGTGCTCTGGTCCAGGGGGTCACGAAGAGTCGGACTAGTTGTGTCTAAACAACTAAACGACTAAACAACAACAAGAAGAAGAAGAGGACGACTTGAGGTTTTCAGCTTTCTCGAGAGCATGGAGCACTTTGCGTTCCTTCGCTCGAGGAGAGATGCTGATAGCACAACACACTTTGCTGCCAACCCACAAAGAACGAACTGTGGGTCCCTAGAAAGCGCTCCTACCTGCATTACAGGGGGTTGGAATAGATGACCCCTGGAGGCCCCTTCCAAATGCACAATTCTATTTTTTTAATATTGTTTATTTATTTATTTATATTAGATTTATATTCTGCGCTAATATACGCTGGAAGTCGCCCAGAGTGGCTGGGGAAATGCAGCCAAAGTTGGGCGGGGTATAAATAATGAAAATATTATTATTATAATTAAGATCTCAAGGCGGTTCACACAGTAAAATACAGGATAAAAGGAGTAAATAAGTAAAACGGGATAGCAAAACAATAACCCTTCACCACAGACACATTGAAAAGACTGCAGAATTCTATGGTACTGTGATTATTCAATTGCGGCAGTTGAATTTAATAAGAGTAATAATAATTTGAAGCAAGCAGAGTGGGGGGAGAGAGAGGCTATTTATGTCTCCACCAGGAAAGCTTTGGGCATGACCCTCTGTGCGACATTATCCTGGCTGGTATTTGCCGCTAATAATAGACGTCGCCTGTGGTGTGTGTGTGCCTTGCCCAGCACCTGACCCTCCCCAGGTCCCTGCCTTCTCAGAGTTTGCAAGGAGCCCCGGGGCCTTGGGCACTGATGGCAGGGTGAGGAGAGGGGGGGCAGGGCGGGTGCCAGGCTGCATTGCAGATCCTTGCATCAGCTGCAGAAACCAAGCCCCTGAGCAGCTGGGCATTCCCTGGCTGGTCTTTCCTGCTGGCCAAACTCGGCCGCAGGGTCCAGTTTGGAAGGGGGCCGCCATATATGGACACAAGGGAGCCTGGGGAGGGGGCTGTCCCTTGTCTCCCTCAAGCCCAAGACCTTGCCAGCCTTATTCCATCCCCTTTAAGAAGCTAAGAAGAAGAAGAGTTTGGATTTGATATCCCGCCTTCTCACTCCCCTTCAGGAGTCTCAAAGCGGCTAACATTCTCCTTTCCCTTCCTCCCCCACAACAAACACTCTGTGAGGTGAGTGGGGCTGAGAGACTTCAGAGAAGTGTGACTGGCCCAAGGTCACCCAGCAGCTGCATGTGGAAGAGCGGAGATGCGAACCCGGTTCACCAGATTACGAGACTACCGCTCTTAACCACTACACCACACTGGCTCTAAGGAGAGCCTGTAGCATCAGGCTGGTGGCTCACAAGGTCAAACATCCCGGGCACACTAACGGGAAGCCCACAGGCAGGATTTGAACGCAAGACCCCTCTCCCCTTCCTGTGTTGTTGTTTAGTTGTTTAGTCGTGTCTGCCTCTTCGTGACCCCCTGGACCAGAGCACGCCAGGCACTCCTGTCTTCCACTGCCTCCGGCAGTTTGGTCAGACTCATGCTGGCAGCTTCGTGAACACTGTCCCACCATCTCGTCCTCTGTCGTCCCCTTCTCCTTGTGCCCTCCATCTTTCCCAGCATCAGGGTCTTTTCCAGGGAGTCTTCTCTTCTCATGAGTTGGCCAAAGTCTTGGAGCCTCAGCTTCAGGATCTGTCCTTCCAGTCTTACTGCTGTTATTTCTGAAGTTGCAGGTTTGCTAGGTTTCCTGGCCTGGCAGGCTGGCAGAGGCGGCTGTTCTTTGGTGGAGAGCGCTGTCTCCTGTCCCATGGCAGGCCGGGCTGGGAACTGGGGGGGCGACCAGTGTGGGAATGGCCCCCTGGCTCCCTAGGGAAGTCTCTGCGGCTCTGAGAAATGCCTCCGGCAGCAACTGATCTGACGTGAATGGCGAAGGGTCGGGTCAGCTCTCCGTAAACAAGGAGCAAGGTTATTCCCGGGCTTGGCGTGTGTCTGGGAGCACAGCTGCTGGCTGGCAGCCAGCCCTTCATATCTCTGGGGCCTCCCTCCTCTCCTCCCTCCAGACCCAAATGCCCAGAGCAAGGGACGCTCCGAGGCCTAGTCACCCCAGATAGGATTCCAGATGGCATCCCAGCGGGTAGCTCGGTTGGCAGAGCGCGAAATTCTTAATCTCTCTCTCTTTTTCAAGAAATACCATATTTTTCGCTCTATAAGACGCACCAGACCACAAGACGCACCTAATTTTTGGAGGAGGAAAACATGAAAGAAAATATTCTGAATCTCAGAAGCCAGAACAGCAAGAGGGATCGCTGCACAGTGAAAGCAGCAATCCCTCTTGCTGTTCTGGCTTCTGGGAAAGCTGTGCAGCCTGCATTCGCTCCATAAGACGCACACACATTTCCCCTTACTTTTTAGGAGGGAAAAAGTGAGTCTTATAGAGCAAAAAATACGGTAAGTGTTTCGTCTTTATTGATTTAAAATATCATCTTGCATATCCATTACAAATCGTTACAGCAAAATTAAACACAAAACTATAAAAGAAGATAAAGAAAATGAAAATAAAAAAGCCAAGAAGAGTTAACAATAAGAGATGAACATCCTGTCTTTTCTAATGAAGTCTTTTGAAACGTCCAATCATTCTCGTTGTACTTTTTCCATTGTCTTAATTCTATCACACAGTTTGTTTTATAACTTTTGCTGTATATTTTTCTAGTATATTCATTCCATTCGTTTATTACATACAAGTATCATTGTAAGGGACACGGGTGGCGCTGTGGGTAAAAGCCTCAGCGCCTAGGGCTTGCTGATCGAAAGGTCGGCGGTTCGAATCCCTGCGGCGAGGTGCGCTCCCGTCGTTCGGTCCCAGCGCCTGCCAACCTAGCAGCTCGAAAGCACCCCTGGGTGCAAGTAGATAAATAGGGACCGCTTACCAGCGGGAAGGTAAACGGCGTTTCCGTGTGCTGCGCTGGCTCGCCAGATGTAGCTTGTCACGCTGGCCACGTGACCCGGAAGTGTCTCCGGACAGCGCTGGCCCCTGGCCTCTTAAGTGAGATGGGCGCACAACCCTAGAGTCTGTCAAGACTGGCCCGTACGGGCAGGGGTACCTTTACCTTTACCTTATCATTCAGTTCTGCTAGGATAACGTCATTTTCACAATATAATCTTATATCTTCTTTGAACAGTCTCCATTCACTAAATGTTTTTTGATTTGGGGCTCCTCTGATTTTTCCGGCCAGCTTTGCTAATTGAAAGTACCTTAGCACGAGTGATTGCCAATCTATTCTTGTAGGTGTTGTTTAACTTTTCCAACTTCTGGCTATGAGTAATCCCAGGGTTGTGGGTTCGAGCCAAAGATTCCTGCATTGCCACGGGGTTCGACTAGATGACCCCTTGTGACCCCTTGCAACTCTACAGTTCTATGTGTAAGGCAGCTAAAGGGGTTTCATTTAGGCTCCCCCCCCCAAGGCACCCCTTCTCTTTCCCACATTGCTGGATTGCTGCAATGTGCTCTTTGTGGAGCTTTCCTTGCACCCGATCCAGAAGTGCAGCCAGCGCAGAATGCTGCAGCACGATTGCTGACGGGAAAAAGGCCTTGTCCGCATATAGCATCTGTGCTCAGAGATCTGCCCTGCCTGCCAATTTGCTACCAGGCCAAGTTTGAGGCGTTACTATTCGTGTGTGACACCCTTAACGACTTGGGATCAGTTTACCTGCGAGAGCGCCTTGCCCCATAAACAACCAGCTGACCACATTGATAACAGCCCTTCAACCTTTGTAAGAAATGGATCTTTCAGTGAGGCAGCACTGACCCTCTGGAACTCCCTGCCTATTGAAATTGTGCAGGTGCCTTCACTGTAAAGGTAAAAGTAAAGGGACCCCTGACCATTAGGTCCAGTCGTGGCCGACTCTGGGGTTGCGGCGCTCACCTCGCTTTATTGGCTGAGGGAGCCGGCGTACAGCTTCCGGGTCATGTGGCCAGCAGGACTAAGCCGCTTCTGGCGAACCAGAGCAGCGCACGGAAACGCCGTTTACTTTCCCGCCGGAGCGGTACCTATTTATCTACTTGCACTGGTGTGCTTTCGAAATGCTAGGTTGGCAGGAGCAGGGACCGAGAAACAGGAGCTCACCCCGTTGCAGGGATTTGAACCGCCGAGCTTCTGATCGGCAAGTCCTAGGCTCTGTGGTTTAACCCACAGCGCCACCTGCGTCCCAGGCTCAGGGTCTACATATGTGTAAATAAAGCTATATATCCTGAAATATATATCCTGTCCTCACAGTGGCCAACCAGATGCCCATTATGGGAAGCGGGACCTGAGAGCCCCCAGGGAACACAGAGGAGGCTCCGTCTTCAAGAAGGGTGTTTTACGGACAAGGAAATTCATCCCATCACAATGGACCAGAGAGAAGGTGTGTGACCGAGTGTGTCTGTGAGAGCAAGGGGGGGGGAGGTCTTGAATGGAGGAGGCGAGTTTTCCACGCGGTGGACAGGATCCACTAGGTCACTGGAAGCGGGTGGGGGCGGGGCGGAGATAGATGGATGGATGCAGAAAGAAAATAATAGACAGACGGGGCGATGGGAAACTGAAGAATGCCGTGAGAGAGTCGGATAGAGGAAATAACAGATAGAGGGGCAAGGGTGAAAAGCTGAGCGGCCAGCTCATTATGGGATGGATGGAGCAAACTCTGCCAGCAATGAGCAAGGCCACCAGCCCTGTCCATCATCTCGTCTGGGGAGAGACACAGCCTGTCAGCCCAGCTCCGTGGTTCTGTCCCTCCACCTGCAACAATGAAGGGTATTTAGCAACACAGCTGAATTAGGCCAGGCCCCCCCCCCAGAGCATCCCACAGCAACGAGGGCTAATCGTCCTGCTCTGTCCGTCCACAAATTGTGGCTCTCTCTTCTGTCTGGGATTGGGACGCCCCTCTGTGGATTTCATAGGGAGACAGGCTTGTCAGCACACATTAGCCTTGATAACAAATAGAACCCCACAACGTAATAAACAAAAATCTGCCCTTATTCCCTTATGGGGGACACAAGAGCCCTTACAGAGTCCTTTGTAGGTTCTCCATCGGTCGGAGAAAAGAACAGAGGTCAACCAGAGAATATTGAGAAGCAAAGCAGCTAGTAAGCCTGATCTTTATTGAACTGTTGCAACAGGGTGCTCCCCTCACACACAGGAAAGGAGGAGGACCCTGAACAAAGGTGTGCCCGCCCTTATATAGACATTTTAAATTGCCAGCCCTGGAGTCCAGGACCACCCCCAGAAACATCATACCTACATCATAGAAACGGCGGTCTACAACAGAAATCTGAGTGCATTGTTTTTCTCCTGTCTGGCAGGTTACCTGTTAATGCTCACTTGATTGGATACCCTGGGGAGCCTGGCCAGTCTTCTGTAATGATAAATACTTAGTTCTTGAGCCAGGTCACAGGCTCACCCTATTCATACACAGATATACCCTTAAGACAGGATCTGTGAAGGAAAAGACAATGAGGAGGCTTTTCCATTTTCCTTTGACCTTGCAGAGAAAACATTTGGTCAGTTTGGGAGTCAGGGCTGTTTTCCTGTGCTGCTTCAGACATGTGGTTTATATATTTATGTACGTGTTTGCTTGGTACATTTATGAACCTTTATTATATATATGGGACGCGGGTGGCGCTGTGGGTTAAACCACAGAGCCTAGGACTTGCCGATCAGAAGGTCGGCGGTTCGAATCCCCGCGATGGGGTGAGCTCCCGTTGCTCGGTCCCTGCTCCTGCCCACCTAGCAGTTTGAAAGCACGTCAAAGTGCAAGTAGATAAATAGGTACCACTCCGGCGGGAAGGTAAACGCCGTTTCCGTGCGATGCTCTGGTTCGCCAGAAGCGGCTTAGTCATGCTGGCCACATGACCCGGAAGCTGTACGCCGGCTCCCTCGGCCAGTAAAGCGAGATGAGCGCCGCAACCCCAGAGTCGGTCACGACTGAACCTAATCGTCAGGGGTCCCTTTACCTTTACCATATATATATATATGAGACCTTAATTTTTTTATTTCAGTTAGAAGCAGTGAAGCCCAGAAGCTGAGCTTTGCAAGGAGTGTGGTTTATGAAAGGTGCATTATCCCAACAGAAAACTGAGGAACCGCAGTGGGAAAAGTGTGAGGCTAACAGAAAAGCTTTGCAGGCCTTCCCAGCAAAGCATCCTGTTTCCCACAGTAGGTTGACCAGATGCCTCTGGGAAGCAAGACACAATGGGCTCAGTCATCGCATCCCCCCACCTGGAGCTCCAAGCAACAGAGGATTCAGAGGAGATGTTCCTGGAGGGAGCTGACAGCCATCATTAGAACAGCCATGCATAGAGGAGAGGGCTACTGGTTGGCTTCTAGCCAGTGCCGGATTTACATACAGTGGCACCTCGGGTTACATATGCTTCAGGTTACATACGCTTCGAGTTACATACGCTTCAGGTTACAGACTCCGCTAAGCCAGAAATAGTACCTCGGGTTAAGAACTTTGCTTCAGGATGAGAACAGAAATCGTGTTCCGGCAGCGCGGCGGCAGCAGGAGGCCCCATTAGCTAAAGTGGTGCTTCAGGTTAAGAACAGTTTCAGGTTAAGAATGGACTTCCAGAACGAATTAAGTATTTAACCCGAGGTACTACTGTATAAGCTAAACAAGCTATAGCTTAGGGCCCCACTTTCTTGGGGGCCCGAAAAAAATTAAAGGAAAAAAAACCCAGATGTACATTTCCAAAATATTAGATAAAAAACAAATAAAATAAAACCTACATACAGCAACAGTGTTTTGTGTTGTGATGCTTTTGAATTCTGGTGCTGGAGGAGACTCTTGAGAGTCCCATGGACTGCAAGAAGATCAAACCTCTCCATTCTGAAGGAAATCAGCCCTGAGTGCTCACTGGAAGGACAGATCCTGAAGCTGAGGCTCCAATACTTTGGCCACCACATGAGAAGAGAAGACTCCTGGAAAAGACCCTGATGTTGGGAAAGATGGAGGGCACAAGGAGAAGGGAACAACAGAGGACAAGATGTTTGGATAGTGTTCTCGAAGAGACCAGCATGTGTTTGACCCAACTGCAGGAGGCAGTGGAAGACAGGAGTGCCTGGCATGTTCTGGTCCAGGGGGTCACGAAGAGTCGGACACGACTAAACGACTAAACAACAACAACAACACTCCTTGGCAGGTATTAAAGCTCTGGTTTTCCCAGTAGTGATGTATGGAAGTGAGAGCTGGACCATCAAGAAGGCTGATCGCCGGAGAATGGATACTTTGAATTCTGGTGCTGGAGGAGACTCTTGAGAGTCCCATGGACTGCAAGAAGATCAAACCTCTCCATTCCTAAGGAAATCAGCCCTGAGTGCTCCCTGGAAGGACAGATCCTGAAGCTGAGGCTCCAAGACTTTGGCCACCTCATGAGAAGAGAAGACTCCCTGGAAAAGACCCTGATGTTGGGAAAGATGGAGGGCACAAGGAGAAGGGGACGACAGAGGACGAGATGGTGGGACAGTGTTCTCGAAGCTACCAGCATGAGTTTGACCCAACTGCAGGAGGCAGTGGAAGACAGGAGGGCCTGACGTGCTCTGGTCCAGGGGGTCGCGAAGAGTCGGACACCACTAAACGACAACAACAACAATCTGTAACATTTAACAGTTTTAAAGATGTGCAGCCACCCGTAATTTCCATAACAAGGTAATTCACACTGTTCCCTGCAAGGATCCATTCTGTGGGCTTCTGTGCACTGCAGGCAGTTGAAGGCTTCAGAAACCAAAGCAACAGCTGGAGAACTCCAACAACACCACCACCATCAGCCCAGCCCAGAAATTGCTCCACTCAGCTGATTGCTGCTATTCAGCACCCTTCCTGTGTAGCCCAGATGGGGCCTGTCTGGTTGCATAGGACGCTTAAGCCAGAAAGACCAGGATGTGGGGGTCTGAGGGTTTAAGGCCCCGATCCTTTGGAAGGTCGTACAGGGGTGTTTGCAAATGGGGCACAACTCTTGGACCATGTACAACTCCCTTCCCCACCCCAACACACTCGCCAGCATGTTTTGCAACACTAGAAGGAGGTCCTGGGGTTTTCTTTCTCTGGTGTTCGGTTCCAGAGCAAAATATTCTGGATAATTTGTCACTGGAATCAGGAAACCCTCCTGCTATTTTATAAAGTTGATTGCGCCATCTAGTGGCCACGGTCCTCTCTGCAAGCCGCATGCAAAACTCAACTCTGGTTTTTATTTTATTTTAAAAAAAGAAATCAGTCACACAGATACTGCAAAATGAGGCAGCCCATCAGGATAGGACTTTAGGGCAAATGTCCAGGGCCCTCCCTCGAGAGGATGAGGTGGGGCAGCTGGGCTGGGAAACCACATTTTGAAAGGAACACTCACGACACGAGGATTTGTGGGCATGCAAAGCTGTGGGTTAAACCACAGAGCCTAGGGCTTGCTGATCAGAAGGTCGGCAGTTCGAATCCCCATGACGTGGTGAGCTCCCGTTGCTCGGTCCCTGCTCCTGCCAACCTAGCAGTTTGAAAGCACGTCAAAGTGCAAGTAGATAAATAGGTACCGCTCCGGTGGGAAGGTAAACGGTGTTTCCGTGCGCTGCTCTGGTTCGCCAGAAGCGGCTTAGTCATGCTGGCCACATGACCCGGAAGCTGTACGCAGGCTTCCTTGGCCAATAAAGCGAGATGAGCGCCGCAACCCCAGAGTCGGCCACGACTGGATCTAGCAGTCAGGGGTCCCTTTACCTTTATAAAGCAGATGAATGTTGGAAAATTCAGGACAGATAAAAGAGAGTTTCTTGATTTTATTTTTTATTTTTTTGATGCTTCAGTTATTTAATTTCTATACCACTTGATACATTTAAACTACATCTAAGTGGTTGTACGGAAAACGGAAGCAGCAACAGAGAGAACATCCACAAAACGTTGCAAAGACAGAGTTACATACAATAATATTACATTAATGCAAAGTTACTAATAGGGACCGCCTTGTTTTCATAAGCCACACATAAGCCAAGCTGCTTGGTTGAAGAGTGAAGGGTACAAATGCTCTAACTAAATAATAATAAATAAATGAAGCAATACTTGGAGGGGTGGCCCATAAGACTACTATTTCCAGAGTCTAAAGTTACCTAATTACGCCACTGGGTAGCTTAAATTTCACAGGAACCTAAGAGCTGCCTTGTGCTGGGTCAGGGCGAGGAAAACACTCTGTACCAAATGGAGCCAAGCAAATGCCTCTGGAAACTCCGAATTTGTGTCCCGTCTCCCCAGGAACCTGGTGCACGCAGAGGTAGACTGCACCTGTCCATGGAGGTTCTGTTTTGCTGGCATGCAGTATACCACAGTGGCCACAGTGATCCACGCGATGGTCACCTCCAGGCTTGATTATTGTAACTCACTCTACGCAGGGCTGCCCTTGAAGCTGGCCCAGAAACACCAGCGGGTGCAGAATCCCACGGCGAGGCTCCTTACGGGGTTCCTGCCATGGGATCACATTCACCCAGTGCTTTACCAACTGCACTGGCTCCCGGTGGAGTACAGAGTCAGGTTTAAGGTGCTGGTTTTGACCTTTAAAGCCCTATACGGCTTAGGACCCTCGTACCTACGGGACCGCCTCTCCTGGTATGCTCTGCGGAGCACCTTAAGGTCCACAAATGACAACATTTTGGAGGTCCCAAGTCGCAAGGTGGTTAGGCTGGCCTCAACTAGGGCCAGGGCCTTTTCAGTACTGGCCCCGACTTGGTGGAACGCTCTGTCACAAGAGACTAGGGCCCTGTGGGACTTGACATCTTTCCTTATGGTTTTGATGAGGCTGCATTTTACGGTAAATTGCATTTTAACAAAAATTTCCCCTATTATGTTTTTACTGTAATTTTACTGTTGTTAGCTGCCCTGAGCCTGGCTCTGGCTGGGGAGGACGGGTTATAAATAAAATTATTATTATTATTATTATTATTATTATTATTATTATTATTATTATTATTTTCTCCTGTTCTGTTCTCGAACCCATGGCTTCACGTTACAAGAAAGGAGATTCCGACTAAACATCAGGAAGAACTTTCTGACGATAAGAGCTGTTAAACAGTGAAAAGGTTTCCCTTGGGAGGTTGTGGACTCCCTTCCTTAGAGGTCTTTAAGCAGAGGTTGGGTGCCTATCTGTCAGGAATGCTTTAGCTGAGATTCCTGCAATGCAAGGGGTTGGACTGGATGACCTCAGGGGTCCCCCTTCCGAGTCTACGATTCTATGATTTAATTCGCTTCACCTTCCCTGAAACGCCGAATTCCTCCTCCTTTTCCTCCACCTGCAGCGCCTGCCTGTCTTTTCCCTTCCCAGTGACTCATCCTCTCCGTCCCAGCCCGGGAGGCGCGTTCTGCGCGTCACTTGTGAATCCGCCCTCGGGGAGGCGGAGGGCTTGGCCCGCAGGAACGCGCATGATGTCAAGCAGGAGCGCGCCGAGAAAAGCCTGGAAAGGGAGAGAAGGAGGATGGAGCCCGAGCGGACTTGCCGGCCAGCCAGCCTGCCTGCCTGCGTGCGGGTCCCCGGGCGGGCAAGCGCGCAAGGCGCGGCAGCTAAGAATAGCGCGGCTGACGCGCGGCGCTCAAGGGGGCACCTGCGCACCGGCCCCCGGGCTATTTTTAGCGCCGGGTGAGCTATAAATAGCCGCAGGAGCCAGAGGCCAGGCCGAGATGACGCGGGCCGGAGCGAGCGAGGAGCAGGGGCTGATTCAGAGGCGGCGCGCGCGGCCGGAGGCAGTAGGGCGCAATGGTTACGCCTCCTCCAGCATCGCCAGCATCCCTCAGGATTCTGCTCCGGGGCCAGGGGGAGCCCGGACTCCTGGGTCCCTGTTGGAGAGTCCTGGGCTCCTTTTACGCGCCGGCAAGCTGGGCGCGCGTGGGCTGGATGTGCGCCGCAGTCCCGCTGGTTTTTGGGCTTCTTCCCAGTGGGTCAACTGGGGGGCTACTGGGAGAACAGGAGGCTGGGCTACGACACCCCCCCCCATTATTTAGACCTGAACCTGCTCCACCCAGTGACTTCGTGGCAAAGGGGCGGGTAGGCGGTGAACCCAGATATCCTGTGTCCTCGCAACAGGTTCCCCACGATAGCACCCTGATTTCTTACTCACCCCAGGCAAGGTGAGGCTCTGGAGTGCAGGCACTAATTAAGGGCAGCAGCAGCGAACGGGTCAGAGCCACAAGGGGGCGCTGCCCCGCGGGAAATGCTCCTGCGCAAGCCCCTGGGTGGCTCTTGCGCAGGAGAAGTGCCCCTTGGACTGGGTTGTCTCCCGAGAGAGGGAGGGAGGGAGGTCCCGCTTTGGTGGCTTCAATCCCAAAGGCTGCTCAGGATTTTCATTCAGGCCTCTGGGTCCTTGG